CTGGACTCGAAACCGTTCTTGAGGCCATGGCTCTGTACATGGAGCATCGTCGAAGTATGCTTGGTTTTCCGCTGGAGCACTTTTTGGATGCCGCGAAAGACCGCTACTGGCTGTTCAGCTGAGGAAAAGCCAAGCGATACTGTTGAGGATTGAGGTTTAAGCCTTAGACCTTGAACCTTCAGCCAGTAAATGCACAATGCCTCAGCTTTCAAAGCAAAGGCCCGGCATTCAAAACACGCATTCTTGTAAAATATACTCGGACAGGTCTGTAGAAGCAGCGAAAAGCAACCAACCACAAATTCCTGTGTAACGCGATGTGCTGTAATTTACAGCTCTATAGCATTTTTGCAACCATAAGCCAACCAACAGGTCCGTTGAAACATGAAAAGAACAGAGCGTAAATACCGGCGCATTCGGCACTTGCGAGTACGTGGAAATCCAGATGCGGAAGTGTACCAACGCCACCGAGGTTTTCGGCCCCTGAAGTGTATGGAATGCTGTAAAAAACCATGCAATCGGCATGTGCGTGGCACGCACTTAGGTCACGTCGGAGCGTTGCTTTAGTTCCAACATAGAAGTGTGCTGCAAAATACCCCAGAGCCCTGTTCCAATCATTAAGGTGTTGCTCTGGCTTCGGCGGGGGATGAAGGTTTGGCTGTATGGAAATCCAGACTACGGAATCGCTAAGCTATCTGTCGAATGGTGTGTTGCAATACATCAGATTGAGCATTGAGCTTATTCCATGCTGCAGGGAATGGTGTGCTACATGTTATGCCATGCTCGAGCACACAGTACGCTATGGTATTATTTTGCGGTGATCCGCCCAACCGTGAACTCTCAAATCCTCAGCCAGAATCCACAAGTGCAACTCCTGAATCCCGACACCGTCAAAAAGCCCGGAAACGGGGCCCCGAAATCCTAAACCTTGGCAAGCCCTGTACGTCGAAGTCGGACACCCGAAACCTTAAACCCTAAAACCCACACCTGGAAAGCCTCAGTTCTGGGGCACAGGTTTAGCCTGGTCCTGTACTCCTCCTTCTTCCTGTTATGGGGCTCAGTGGCGTCGGAGACCTTGACCAAGAATTGAGATTTTAGTTGCATAAATCTGGTCGTCGGGTTGCAATATTTCGAGATAGAGTCTGTTTCTTTCATGATTTTGGGTTTCGGGGTGGGCGTCTCCAGCTCTGGAAGTACATTGGGATTCTGGCGCTTCCGTGTTCGGATGGCACCGGAGATCCAAAACACGATCTGTATGTGTGTATGTAACATTTCTAGGCTACAGCTTAGCCCTAAACACTAACATCCCGTACGGGATGTCGCCGACCCAACTGCGGCGCAACCATACGATGCATGTTATGTTGCCATGCCCAGGTGCAACGAGGAGTTGTGACTGACTAGGTCTCAGGGCTTGGTGTTATGCACACGGCTGTGTAGTCAAGGATAAGTACCTGAAGGGTGACTTCCTGGGCCACGAGTCGCATCACGGACGGAGGCCGATGGTGTTTCTCTGCTGGTTGTGCTAGACTTTGTGACGCTTGGTTGAGCTGCTTCCTCAGCGTAGTAACCCGAGTCTGCCACCCCCAACGGATGCGGCCCGATGCTTCCAAACCTTGTCGGAGGCAGCGAACTTCGTTTGATAACGAACCCAAAGTTCCCGTTCCTGTAGGCTCCAGGTTTGGTTTTCGGACACCCCAAGCGGGCATCCATGAAAGGTTTAGGGTTTAGGGTTTAGAGGTTTAGGGTTTAAGATTTAGGGTTTAGGGTCCTTGCAAATCATGTTGTCCGACCCTGGCAGGCTCTCAAGTGCAGGTATTTCCCCGGAGGCAAGCCGGCACATCGTGCAAACAGCTCCTTTGCTGAATCCCTAGGTTGCAGCTATGGCTTGTACAAGGGATGTGCTCTAGAGTGTTTTTGGTGTGACGAGGGCCTTCCCGCCCTTGGGCGTCCGGGACCTTTTGTGGTTGTTTGAGTTTGGCTCCTGGAGCAGTTGCACCTGTCACCTAGATGGCAACAGCTTGTCTACTCTAGTAGACTGCTTGGACCTTTGAGCTGTGTTTTGCGAAGGTGAGATGGCTGATTGCCCATATACACACATGCATGGCAGTATACGAGTATGTATGTATATGTATGTATGTATGTATGTATGTATGTACGTATGTATGTATGTATGTATGCACGTACATGTACGTGTGTATGTATGTATGTATGTATGTATGTATGTATGTACATACGTAGGTAGGTATGTATATATGTACGTATGAATGTATGTCTGTAGGTACGTATGTGACTGTGTACGTATGTACGTAACGGTGTATGTACGTACGTACGTACGTAGGTAGGTAGGTAGGTAGGTAGGTATGTATGTATGTATGTATGTATGTATGTATGTATGTATTTGGTGTAATGTAATGGAATGGAATGGAATGCAAGGCAATGTAGTGTAGTGTAGTGCAGTGCAGTGCAGTGTAATGTAATGTAATGTAATGTAATGTAATGTAATGCAATGCAATGTACTGTACTGTAAGGCAGGGTAAGGTAAGGCAATGTGTGTTATGTATGTTATGCATTTAATGTTTGTATGCATTACAGTGCGCACGTATGTAATGTAATGTATGTATGTATGTATGTATGTATGTATGTATGTATGTGTAAATTGACTGATACACCTGCCATGAATGAATGAAGGAATGAAGGAATGAAGGAATGAAGGAATGACGGAATGAAGGAATGAAGGAATGAATGAATGAATGCATGTGTATGTTGGACACACGCGCACACACACCTCTGCACATGAAGACTGCCTCAGTCAAGCCACAGCTGTCCCCGAGGTGGTGTGGAATCCCTTCCCCAACTCGGCCTTCATCGGTGGCTTGGAGTTTAAGGTAACGGAGGCCTGCATTCTGGGCACCCCAACCGTGGGGATTTTCAGACGCATGTCATCCTCAAGGACTCAGAATGAACCTGTGAGGCTTGAAACATGGGTTTGGGGTTCATGCATATCGCATGCATACCAGCAAACATGTTTCTGTATGCTTCTTGTTTCGTGTTAGTGCGTTATGGCATCTCGTAGACTAGAGTGACTAGAGGAACACATGCTGACATTTTCAGAACATGTATTCTTCAGGCATCATCCTGGCCTCCTTGAGCCAGTCGCTGCAATGTTTGATCGTGGCCCCGCGGCTCTTGCAGAATATGGCCAAGGACGGACATCTAGCCGTTCATGACGTGGCTGTAATTGTTACACCGAGCTTGGAAACCAGCATGTGATCGTCATGGCATCAGCAGTACCAGCAGCCATTGCTGCTGCTACTACTACCACCACCACCACGACGATGATGATGATGATGATGATTACTATTACCACTGCGGTTACTGGGGCTACTGCAGCTACGGCAGCTACTACTACTGCTGCTACTGCTGTCACTACCACGACTGCTGCTGCTGCTACTACTACTACTGCTACTACTACTACTACTACTACTACCACCACCACTACCACTGCTGCTCCTGCTCCTGCTCCTGCTCCTGCTGCTGCTGCTGCTGCTACTGCTACTGCTACTGCTACTGCTGCGACCACTGCCTTCAGGACCGGCTGATGCCCGCCCTGCGAGTCTTAGAGCCGCTGAGCTCCTCCGGGGAGCCCACCCGGGCGCTGCTCTTCACCTACCTCGCTGCTGTACCCGTGGCGGCAAATTTTTGGGAGAGGAGAGAGGGGAAGAGATGAGGATATTATTATTTCCTCCCCAAAGAGTCTAGCAAAAATATAGTGAAAGGACTCTGAGGATATTATACCCCAAAGAGTCTAGTAAGATACTTGTAGTAGGCTCTTACGCCAGGGGTCAGCAGGATGGCCACGGCAGGTGCACTTCGCGGTTTCGCGACTCCCGCTATGGTGCAGTGGGTTCTTCTGTCTATATTTGCACTCTTTCCACATTCCACAGTCCGGCTGCCGCCATGTCCTCGACGACGGCCAATTCATTGTAAATCCCTACATTTTGAAGTTGTGCAGCTTGATGAATCGACTTATTATGGGGTGGTCTTGCTGGTTCTTGGGCCGGCGAGTCCCGACGGAATGCCGTGCCATCGAATGCTCACTCGAGCTCGCTGTCTAGCACTACAATCCCGAGTCTTGTGGTCATAGGATGCGGCTAGTCTTGTTCGTGGCGGTGGCGGTTTCGACAACAGGTGCTCAACCCTAGGCCCCGGTTGCCAATCTCGGGATCCGAATCCCGAGTTCCTTCGCCTAAAACTCCAAGCCCCAAGTGAGAAACTTGAGGCGCTTCTTGTGCTCATCGGGCAGTTGGAGCTCGTGGCACCCCTCCTGACCATGCGCAGCTCTCGGAAATGCTAGGGCAGGGCGAAGCAAGCGGAAAGACTTTAGCAGAAGCAGAAGCAGGGAGAAGGGGAGGAAGAGTGCCTGTCATCCTGGTCCAGGAGTGGGATTTCAAGCATCTTTGTCCTCAGCAAAGGGGGCTTGGACAGTCAGTCTCGCTTATCTACCGCTTGAAGTCTGACTCTTCCATTGAGTGGCCCTGATCAACAATTGCCCTTGTGCTCATGTCGCGGATCTCCGGAGATGCTACGTTATCCCGGTCTTGTAGGGTTCGGTCGTCCTTCTGCAGGCACGCGGATCAAGGCTCAGCCTTTGCAGCCGTTTGTCTAGGCTGTAGTTCGTGATCATAAATGAGCTTTGCTTTAACTCGAACCTTTGAGTCAAAAGCTGCATGCACCTGTTCTTGTAGAGCACGAATATGAGTCTGTCAGTCGCTACCACTAAGAAGTCCCAGCGCGCCGGTGTATGCGAAACTGGGGATAGCAGCTGTCAGCAGCACGAAGGATCGCGATGCGAGAAGATGCGCTAAGAAGACTAATGGTTTCCAAGCCTTAGCAAGTCGAGTGAAGCTGCTGGCAACCGGCCATACACCCTCAAAGTTGACACCATCCCAGGCATTCCGACCATCCCTCTCTCCCTCCGGTTTTTTCTTCAAAGAGGTGGCAAGAAGCTGCCGATTTTGCCGCGGATCCCTTTTATGAATGCATCCGTGGCCTACAATACCCATGGACGCCGCCCTAGCAACCGAGATGCCGGGGGTGTCAGGCCAGATTTCAGTCTCTGCCATAGGTCTTCCTCCATGCGCAGATCTTCCTTGGTTCCGAGATGTTCCGGGTGGTAGCTTTCTTTGAAGGCTTCGGAGCCTGTTGTTTGCGGCATAGCGCTCCATTCAAGCGAGCATGCCACAGCTTTGGGCCCTCCCCTCTGTGCATCACCGTGTCGCAGGGAATGCATCGAGGGCCGTTTCATGAACCACGCTGCCACCACTGGCCGCGCAGCCGCTGCCAGAGGACGAGGCTGGGAAGGGAACTGAGACTTCAGACCAGCGCCGGTGAACGCAAATGGTCTCCAAGGTAGCACTTCCCTTAAATGCATGGCAATGTGGTTTGGATGCTTGACAGAACTTGGCATCGTGCCCAGGCCAGGACAGTGCGAAAGAAATGCTGCAGCAACTTCCCGTCGCGCTGGGCGGATACCGACCTGGGCACAACGATACTGCCCCAGGCAGGGTCCCGATGGACATTCCTAAGGTCTAGCGGGCTGCTACCATGAGCTCTTCAACACTGGTGCTCTAGTGTCTTGCCGAAGCAGGTCCCAAACAGCCGGGCGAGGCCCAAAGGCAGGCGCCACGGGGTCCTTCCCACGCATCCCGGCCTGCAAGAAGCCTAGCAACGGATTCAGCTAACGGTACTCAGTAAGCATGCCAGGGCTAACGCCATAGACGCAATCGCAAAAACGAGTAAAGGCGACAAGGAATGCTTCGATCCTGTATCCCCAGCCAGACGCCTTTGAACAGCGTGAAACGGCTGCCGCCGCGACACCACCTCCTTCGCCGCCTCCGCCTCCGACACCGGCACAACCATCATCGCCAACACTGCAAGCGCCACGAATTGCAGTAAAGACAACCAAACTAAGCATCACTGCTGCCACTACTATTTCTGCGTCGACTGCTACAGCTGCAGCTGCTGATACTGCTACCGTCTGCTACCGCTACTGCTACTGCTACCGCTGCTGCTGCTACGACGACGGCTACGACTCCGACTACGACTACGACGACTACTACCATTGCTACCGCGACCGCTACAGCTACTGTCACCGCCACTTCTGGGTTAGATTCGATGGCTAGTCTGGATCAGACCAGAGTGGATCAGGTTGGACAAGATAAGATTAGATGGGGGTGAGACTAGATTAGGTTCGATGACAATTAGGAGATAGATAGAGATAGACAGAGTTATATATATATGTATGTATGTATGTATGTATGTATGTATGTATGTATAAATAAATATATACATAAATAAGAAAAATATATATATATATATACACACACATCGATAGATCGATATATAGATAGACAGATACATGGATAGATAGGTAGATAGATAGATTCAGATAGATAGATAACAGACAGATGGATAGACATATAGAAAGACCAGTTGGCCAGTCGGTCGGTAGGCAGGTAGGTGCCTAGGCCGATAGATAGATAGATAGATAGATAGATAGATAGATAGGCAGATCAATGGACAGATGGCCAGTGGCTAGCTAGGTGGAGATCGTTTAGTCGTACACACACACACAGACACAGACATATATATATATGTATATATATATATGTATATACACACGCACTCTCTCTCTCTCTCTCTCGCACATACACACATTTCTCCATGTGTAGCCAAGTATTTATCGTGCTCCCCTGTTTTACACTTTCAACCGATACACAAGAATCCGAGCTTGTTTCTGAACCAAGGAGCCTCCCTGGATGCAGCAGAATCGGCGGGGTGCCCGTGACTCGGCGGAAAGGGACGGCTTCCTCGAGGCCTTTGAGTTGATTGGCTCAGGTAAGATTGCACTAGGTGCATGGCTGCAGTTTAGATGAAGCCTTGATTTGCGCGTTGTTTTCAAGTCGTTCTGAGGGCCTTGCCTTCCCAGGTGCCGACGTGGCCGTAGTTCCGCCCTGGGCACAGGAGGGGTTCGGGAGGGAAGTTTGTGTGTCTCTCAGGCATGAGTCTTTGCAGCCTCGACCAGGACACGTTCACGATGCCGTTTCCACGCAAGCGTGAGGGCGAAGCGCATCGGAAGCGTCACCAAAGCTTGCCGGAGGCACTGATTGGGGCTGTAGACCGTTGAAGCTGATTCATCTTATTTAACTGCGTGACCGGATGGCTTTGCTTGGACCGGACAGCTGTGCTTGTTGCGCCAGCACAAGATGTCCTTGTCAGGAGGCCATTCGCCCAAAGAACGGCGCCGACCTTAGTCTACGATCACCGAGTGTTTGAAAGGATGGGGAATGCTTGGTCAATGAATGGTCTAGGACTTCTTCTTACCATTTCTCGAGAGAGCATAACGAAGAGCCTTCAAACTCTCCTGTCTTACCCGGGCAAATCCAGGCGACACTACGCTTTTTGGTGCGCCGCGGGCACAGGAGTCGTGAGAGCACATACACCTGTGCAGGCTTCGAGGCAATAGCTCATTCGACTGCCAGGAGCATCATCCTGCGGCACACGCACATCAGCCCCCTGTCAGATTCACGAACTGAACTTTTTTTCTGAACATTTCGGCTCATAACCGACTACTGCCGAGCTAAGGCACGTGCCTCACCTGCCGAAAGCCAGGCAGGAAGATGGCAAGAGTCAAGACAACACCAGACTTAGGCTTCAGGGAAGTTTCAGCAGGGCCCTGCTGCTTTCGCTTTGCCCCCGCCTGGGCGCAGAGAGAATAGTTGAGATTGCATAGAATCATAGTGGCACCGACAATCCGGACACCCTAAACCCCAAGCCCTAAGGCCCTACACATCCACCCTTAAACCCTAAAACAAAGCCCCCAAACCCTACCCTCCACCCGAAACCCCTAAAAACCCTGCACTCTGTGTCCTTGCAGGGATGGGACCGCAGTGGCCTTCGTCAGCAAGGCTGCCGAGCCCAACTCTCAGTACCGCGCCTACATGGAGGAGCCCCTTGGGGTTTAGGGTTTAGGGTTTAGAGGTTTAGGGTTTAGGGGTTAGGGTTTAGGGTTTTGTTCAAAAGAAGCAGCTTTTGTCTTTTTTCGGTTCTGCAAGGGGTTCTAGGGGGCTTTTTGAGAGTTCGCTTAAGGGTTCTGCTCAGGATAAGGCCTACCCGCACGGGCCATGAAGGGTTCAGGGTTGTAGGGCTTTTAGGGCGCAATTCGGGGGGTCTCTGGCAGTTATCGGCATTCTATGGTGGACTTGCGAATTTGCAGCCCTGAGAGTAGAGTAGTCTTCAAGGTTCGAAACATTCAACTCCCAACTAGAACTTGGAACATGTGGCATTCGATCATGCTTGTGATAAGGAAGCTACGTAATTTCCTTCATGACATACAGACATACAGATCATATACAGCATGTACAGTAGGGGAATCTCTGATGAGTGATGATCATCTTGATTCCCTGCAGTCAGGGTCGGTTCAAGGGCATTGAACACGAAGCCCTGCCGTGCTGTTGACGTCAGGACAAGTATTGTATCATTGATCCCTTCATGGATGGCGAGCTTGGTAACGAGACGTGGCTTGGACTCTACTTGCCGAGTAGCAGGGCTTAGGGTTTTGGGTTTAGAGTTTGCGGCACTAACCGTGGAAGAGTGCGGTCCAGATTTGATGGCATGCGGGTGGCAAGAGCAGCAGCTACCGTCCGACAGGCCCGAAACCCTAAACCCTAAGCCCCCGAACCCCAA